CGTCTGTTCGCTACGTGAATCTACGTCGCCTTTAGAATTGGTAGGCGACTTTCTGGAGCCGGCCAAGGCGCCTTGTTTCCTGGACAAGGCTTTGTTTATGCCCTACCGAGCCTTTCCACATACTGTCTCTCTCACCAAGGCCAGAGAAAGTGTCCTTAGATGAGAGGTATGTTAGCACATCTGGCAATTCTCGGCAGGGCCGAGGCTTTGTAGGAATTGACCTGACCGACGCCTCGGAGAGTTCTGTTCTGTGCCAGAACAATGTTCAAAAAAACATATATTGAAGAATAGGAACGTTTGCTTCAAACACCAACAGCACAATATGTAATTAAACAGTGTACAGGAAAAGAAAGCATTCCGATTACTTTTTAAATACAGTAGAAAAAAATAAATGTATTTGTTTCACAGTTTCATTAATGTATCACACATGTAGAAAATTTGTTTGCAAAAAACACACAGCTAGTTCACAAGCTTTTATATTCCTTCTCGTTCGTTATATTTCTTTATAATAAAAGAATCAATCTTTTATATTATACATTTTTGTTCCAAGGATCATTTATGTACAATCAATGAAGCATAGTCAGGTTAAATAACACTTTTGCAACATAAAAAATATAAAGCTTTTCCCACTATGTATATGTTACTATATTGTCTGATATTTATAAATATTATCATTTCCAGACCTTTAAAACATGCATGTCTTATATCACAATGATGATAAGTTGAATGAGAAGTTGAATTTGCATTTAAGAGTATGTGGTAGCGTGAAAGTTCTTCTATTGGAATACAATTAGATAACTAGAATATTTTGAATTTAAGCTTGAAAGCTTTGACACATAAATAAAGTTAAAAAATTACACATTTTCAATACGTGACTTTAATCCTACATCCTACCTATATTGTTCCATTACATTGAATTCTTTGTATAATATGTAAAATTAATTTCACAACTTTGGCAAGGTAGAATCTTTCAGCTACAAAGTAGACATAACAAAGTGATGTTCGTTTCTTGGCAGAAAATTCTGAATTAAATGGAAATAAGACATAAAAGGCACATTATACAAACATTGATGCATATATTTAAGAGACACTGTTTATTTCAGACTAATAATAAAGTGTTTATATTTAGCAGAACATGCAAAATGCTCACTTGTCTGTGCAACAGAGAGATTGGCAGTAGTATTCAGTGGCCGAAATAGCATCTTCTCATTTTTATAACACATTTTTGAGTAAAATATTCATGGTCACGTTTTAAAATACGGAATTTTGATTGCCTAAAAATTCCCTAGTTAATTTTATAACTCAAAGTTGTAGCTAACAATATATAAGAGAGAGAAATTTATATCGAAATAATTTGACTTGTGCAAATTTATATTTTTATGAATATTGCCTATTGTATATCGTCTATTGAATGTTTTGATACATATATTGATAAATCCTTTGTGTATTTTGTACATTCTTTTGTCTTCAAATTTAACATAATTATTGTGTAGTTATCCTGTAGCATGAAGTCATGTGTTTGTATTTCACGTCACGTGTTTGAAATCATCAGTTTATATTTATTGAGTAAGAATAAAGCGTATAGAATAAGAATAATGCATATAGATTGTAGATCTTTATGTAAATTTATGTTATATATGATGTATGAAAACGATTGAAGCAATGACACGTACACAGATTTTGTTCTACCAACTGTATATTATAATGAGTATTGTATTTTGTGTCTGTTGTACAGATTGTTGATCTGTTGCTTTGAATTTTCCATATATGCATATACACCTGCAGCCTAATAGCAAATTACCAAAGGATCATTGATCGCAACTAATTTGCTGTTTTACAGTTTATTTCTAAATTGAAATAATTATCTGATTCAAGTTGAATTGAATATGTTGATAATCAGTGCTACAGTTGTGAAAATAAAGACAAGTTTTAACCGTCGGACGACCATGATGGTTTTATCGGGATATTATTTACTTGTATCTTGAAAAATAATTATAACGTATAAAAAAAATATTGATTTCTACTTTTATATAGACTTTGGGAAAATTAATTATTAGAATTGAAGATATTAAATTATACAAGTACAGAATTACATATCGATTGAATCTCGATTGAAAATTCCCATTATGGATCGATGGTCCGAGAGTTAAAAATAAAAAGAAAGATACATAGATCAGAGGAAGCAATTAGAAATGTTTTTTGAAAGGATCAATCAATTTGATTCGTTTATGCTTACAATTAGTCCACAGATGCTGCTGGGTTACCAGCATTGTGCTACCAAATAACGCATGTACATATGTTTGATATGTATGTACGCATATAACATACATTGAGATAAATGTCACACTTTCAACTTTTATTTGTTTATTTTTAATTTTACATATAATTTACGGTAATTAAGATGATGCAATTTTAAGGTAAAGACACAAACAATATAATAAATATTACGAAAAAAAAAAAAATAAATAAAATACTGTATTATGGTAAAATAAATAAAATTGAGTTTCAAAAAGTACTCAAAAAATACTTGGAATAAATTGAGTAATATGTATGGGGTTAACTTAAACCGAGTATGAAATTTATTCAGTAACAAACCGTAACATTTGTAACTTGTTACATCTTTACTGTGTGATTTTCATATGCAAATAGTTTGAACAGTCACTGATTTAAATATTATGTTTTATTGATGTTACAACAGTTGTAGCAGTTCCATATGATGTAAGACACCTGTATAAATTTGAAAAATACTTTTTGTAATACAAATAAGTGCAAAACCATGTAAATTGACAGCAGGTGATTTGTACAAAGTAAATATAATTTCGGAATAGTAAGTATAAATGTACTTATAATTCTAATAGTTAATACTCGTTTTAACTATTATTTTTAAATACTTTTATTTTAAGATCTTCAAGACGTGGATATTATATTTCAATGTTGTGAGTCGAATATTTAATCAAATTTATTATGCCGTAATCCCAGTTAATTAGAAATGCGAATATTTAATGATTAGATGAATATAATTATTGATATTTCACAATGTCATTTGATATTTCAACATATAAAATGCATAAACCTTACTAATATAATCAATTATCACTCCACAACATTCTTTCAATTTGTATCATTGAGTCACAAAGAAACTTTATATTTACTTTATATTTACTACTTATTAGCAAAATATAATTTAACTTCAATAGTTAAATTTGCTTATTACACTATCTTTTTATAATATTGTTGAATAAATTTTTTTGCCAAACTTGGAAATTAAAAAAAGATTATTGTTATATTAATACTACGAATAGAAATAGTAATATTTTTTTAGCAATTGAAGAGCTTTTATTACATCACTTTAAAATTTTTTGTGCAATACAGTGAGCATGTATCTGATATATTGCCAGAAGATAAATATTTTATTTCAGTATAATCATTGACTAAGCATAGTGTAGATTGGACATTAAATGAAGCTTAATGTTTCAGGGTTTGTATTACCGACCAGGAAAAAAAAGTCACTGGTTTTTTAGCGCACTCTACGTTTAAACAACGGTGTATTGGAGAACTACATCAAATAAAATGAAGCAAGTTGGGTAAGTAAAATGATATTCGTTGCATTATTATCAATTGTGTATCTCCAGATCAGCGACGAGGTATCGTATATTAGTCAATGATACAATGTCTACTCATACATCTCATCTGTGATGCTATAACGCAAAACTTGCCTGAGTCGGTACGACAGGATGTGACACAAAAATGCTAAGAAGATCCTAGAATCGTGGGGTAAAAGACACATAATATATCATAAGTGACAAATAATAGCGTTCTTTTGTGTTTCTTTATTATACAATTTAGATATTTTTCTAAGTGCTGTTAATAAAAGCTTGATTTATGATTAAATAGAGTAGATCTTTTAATTAAAGCATAAGTAGATATACAGTATTGATAAAAGGCACTGTTTCTTATGGATATTAATCCGTACTTAACAAAGTGTAGTAGCATTCACATAAATGAGGTTTCACTTTCAGGTACTGTAATAATAATTCTTTAAATAAGGAGTATTTCATTTTTTAAAATACTTTTGAGTACTAATATATATTTTCAAGGGAATTATAATGTATGATATTGATACAAATATGAAACATTGCCTCAGGTTTCTGCTGTTTGTTTTGCATAATGATTACGAGCTGTTTTAAATAAAAGCTAAAGATTTTGCAAATGATTACTAAAATTTTTTAAAATTGTAAAAGATCATTATAAATAAACAAAAGTAACATACATACACTTTCGTATTGTTCTTTATTATCAAAATATAAAAATAAAAGATATATTAAAAATTATCTTACAAAAGGATTCATATTAGCCTTCCATTAGATGTAGAAAATAAATAATTTTATAGCAATTATAATTTGCATTGTTCCTATGACGGCAATTTTTAATGAAACATCTAATTCGTGATTCGTCAATAGTTTTGCAGAGGAATCGATGCTCGAAAGTTTTTTGCTTTTGACCAGGGTCATCCTTTTCTTATTTGATGCACTTTCTTGGATAAATAAGTTCACCCCAATACTTTGTGCACTAGTTTGCAGCTTCAACTGTAAATAAAAAAGGAAACAGTGTGTTAAAAATGTTTTCTCAACAGGTACTTAATTATTTAAAATAAGTGAATTCTTATACTTTTTTACATGTTTAAGCGAATATTTCGGTTCATATAGAATAATTCTTCCATAAAAAATCAAGTATAAATTAGTCAAAGTATAAATCTAGTATATTCATCAAGTATAAATTTTAATGAATAAAAAATTAAGAATAAACTATCCACAAAGACATCAGTAGCAGTGTTAGTAAAATTTCTTGATTTCTTTGGTTTAACTTCCACAATCAGTACTAGAAACTGTTTGTTACATGAATTCTGCAATGTTATTGAGAACGAAATATCAATGACAAGACAAGTTAGTCAGTCAGTCAGTACGAAAAGAGTAGTAAGTCTGTACCATTTGGCTACATTTACTGGGTTATCAAGTTCATCTAACCGGATTAGATGCTGCAAATTGTACTATATACGTAATTTTTTGAATGAAATCCAGAATACTATGACGTATTCGACGCTCAAAACATCTTCGTGAATCGTGTTTGATCTAGCCTGTACATCTTTCACTCTTTATCGAATTTAGAATAAACAATTTCGAAAGTAATTGTCGTTTTATTCACAATCACCAGTATAAAGAAATGCATGTTTTCAACTTTTCATAGAAAGTAAATATTAATGATTTCATTGCAACATTTGACTCGTTTATTCGTTTGCTCATTAACGATTGAATCATACTGAATTGTTCGAGTTGTAATAACCATTTATCATTGGAAAATTTTTGTAGGTTTAGGTTAGATTAGGTTAGGTAGGTTAAGGAAAGTCGTTATTGATATTTGAATTTTTCGATTCGATTTTGCACTTGAAACATTCCAAAAAAACAGTTGACAAACAATTTTTTTTCTGGACTTTGGATTAAAATAAAAAAGCAATGTAAATCGAGACAAAAGTTCGAGAGTCACAGCAGAAATTAAGATGCGTGAAAGTGACAAGATATTTCACAGTTTGTTCAAACTTTTCTCACCTAATAAAAAAGTTGAAACAAAATGAGAAAGACTAACCCTTTTGGGCATTTAATTCTGTAATAAAGTGTCGTACAAGTAATATTACAGTCAATAATGAAATAATTGATTTACTTATTTAATAATATATTGAATTAATATATCCTTAATTTGTTATATATCCCTCGTTCAATTTTAAACAATTTTGGTAATATTAACTGCTCGAAGGAAGATCGAGATATCTCGCGTGCCAAGAATATCTCCAATTACTAGACGTACTATCGTTGAATTATTTCTGATATAAATCTGACCGATTGCGACGACATTATCAATGGTAGATAAGATGTTGCGGGTTCATCTCGGTTCGACAAGGATTTATCTGAATTAACATTACGCTCTTCTTACATCACGCTTTACGATTTTTGTTGTATGTACACACGTACACACGTTTCGCGTCGCGAATTTCGAACGTGAATGTAACCTTATCGAGAGAGAAAAAAAGAAGGGAAGCAGAGGGAAAAAAGGAAACGAAATCAGTTTCATGGCGCAGTTATGTTTCTGACAGTATCGTTTCTTTTTTTCCTTTTTCTTTTTCTTTTTTTTTTCTCTTCTCTCGATCAAACCTAAAAGTTTCGATTCAGCAATTTAAACATACGTCGGTCATTTCCATACAAAATGTGCATCAAGTGCGTCAAAGAAGATAAAGCGTATAATGAAGATGCGGAGTAATTTCGTTTTATTTTTAGAAATTCAACGTTTGTGCGTCTTATTTAGGGGAGAATCGCTGACATTGTAGAAATTTAACTTTTACAAGTGTCGTGTGAATATCTGTGCATCTGTGTGTTTATTGCTAAAGGAAGATTATCGAATTTGGTAAATTTTCTAAGATCTCTATCTATACTGGATATATTTATAATACCATAACATTATATATTTATATATTATTATAACATTATCTATGTTAATTAAATAAATAGTAATAATTTTGATGCTTGTCTTTCGATCATATCGTTTTAGTAAACAAAAAGATTCTTCAACTCTTTCAAAAAGATCTTTGAACTGATTGACTTCAACATTATTTTTTTTTAAATTATACGTATCAATGACAATTCTTTCACACGAGATATTTTGTCAAGTCAATGAGAAGTGCAGTTGTGTCGAGAAACATAACAGAAGACAAACATAATTGAATTTAATTATTGAAACCAGCTACAGTTTATTTTTATTACACAAGTGTCGATATTTAATGGCTGTAGAACTTTAAATAAACAATAGATGTTACGTTAATTTCGAACTACAATCAGCAAATTGTTCATGTTTTTAAATCAAACGATTGTACATACATACATATATATATATATATATATAAAATTTAAGTTGCGTACCTAACAATAGGATATGCTGAATTTCCTTTGTATCCTAGTTTCTGGGATAGCCGGAAGAGTTTTTGCAGATTCTTTACGTTCAAGTCGAAAACCGATCGTTTCTTTCTATCGCTGACAGACAGAAAACAAAACGACCGATTAAAACAAACGTGACGGCCGAGGTACCAATAAAATGAACAATCCTGGAAATTTCATTTACACTCACGTCGTTTTGATTGCTTGTAACTGACGTCCTCCCCTGATCACGTTCATCAATTTGCCCGTCATTTTTGAAAGGGCTATCAGGGTCTCTAGCTCTGCTCGCCTTTGGTCCGATAACCGTTTCTGCCGACTGCACGTTTAACACAAAATTTGTCAAGTGAAAGGAAAAGAAAATCTGCCAACAATTTTCTTTAAATTTCGTCAAAAACTGAGATATTTATTTATCGAAAATTTGGTTGGTTTTCTCGTTGGAAAAGGAAATCTCTAAGCTGGAAAGTTTAGTCTCGACGATTTTTATTAAATTATAGTTAAGAGAAGAATTCACAATTTCATAATCTACTCTTTTTTTTTTTCGTTTTGTGCAATAAATATTGTTGAGTGCTTTAATAAGAATTGTTTACTCACTTTCTAATCGTCCCTGATATTTCTGCGTTCACTTGTTCCGCGATGCCATTTTCCCCCATTTTCGAGAAAGTGTCGTGGACGTTGAGCGTATTTTCACGCGCAATCCTTTCACAAAACAAGTTACAATACAAAAATGATTTCCTCTTCGAGGTGAACCTTTCTGACAGAAAATTTTAATTCACACAAACAAGTTACAATACAAAAATATTTTCCACACATCACGATCTTAATTCCATTTCAATTTTGTTTTTCCGAGAAAGTGCAAAAATTTTAAACAAATTTTAATCGTCATTAATCCTTCGTGACGCATGTGTGGTATGAATTGCATAATAATTACGATTCAGCAAATATCATATTTTTTTGTAAAGAAAAAAAAAAAAGGTTTTTCAAAGTTGTTCAGAGAAACTGAACGTTTCAAAATACAAATATTGCACGTAGTATTGCAAAAATTAATGGTACTTCAATCGTCGTGGTAAGTGAAGGAAGCAATTTCTAAAAATTCTTCTTTAAAAGAATATATTCTTTAAAATATATATTCACCTGTTATGTCCAGATTGGGCAGATGCGAGTTGAAGCAAAGCAAATAAAATTGTGACTGCCATCCAGAACTTCCCGGAAGTATTTCTGCTCGTGGTGCTCTTCATTCTTCACTTCTTCAAGACGACACGAACAAAATTGAGAGTGGCAAGAAAAAAGAAAAAAGATAGAAAGACTCGAGGATGAATATGAAATTTTCTTGTCTCAATTTGTTGCAAGTAGAATCAGACACAGATCGTTTGATTCCTCTGGTTCTTGCTTGTACTGTAACTGTAACGTTACAAGGCTCTGGTGCGCGTACTTATATATTCTTGCTTAAGAAGAAACTCCCCTCTACTTGAAAAGTCGTTGTCGTGACTTCTACACCCCCTTTTGTAGTTATCGTTTCGAAACGCGTTCTTTTCGACACAAATGGATTCGATGTAATCTGTTCATGTCATTAAGGAAGAAAAAAAAAAAAAAAAAAAAAAACAGCCAATCTATCTTGCAATTAATACAATTATATTGTAGATTTCGTAATTATTGTTAATGCACGATAATGAGCGTCTGGAAATATCTGTGCAGTCGAGTAACAACGATGATTTTACGACAATAATCGTAATAAATAACATTTCTAATTTTAGTTATATAATAATGGCTAGTTTGTATTGTTTAACATTTGTTGGACTCACTGTATCAGAGAATAGACGAAAATTTTATAATTAGACTAATTTCAGAATTAAAATACGTTTTATGAATACGTTTAAACGAATTTTAGTTTGGAGCAGAAGTTTGCTTTCTCTATTAAAGATTATATTAAATATAATGTAATATAACGTAATTATATTAAATATAATGTAATATAATAGAATTATATTAAATATAATGTAATATAATGGAATTATATTAAATATAATGTAATATAATGGAATTATATTAAATATAATGTAATATAATGGAATTATATTAAATATAATGTACTATAATGTAATATAATGTAATATAATGTAATTGTATTAAATATAATGTAATATAATGTAATGTAATGTAATTATATTAAATATAATTAATATTACCTATATAAATATAAGTAGCACTGTAATGCCAATAGTTTTATATATTTCTATTGTATTGTATTGTATCTTTTGCATTTTCTTCGAATTTCTCTTAAATGCATAAAAATCTGTAATCCATTTATAATGTACATTTAAAGTATTCAGAAGACTGTTTTCAAATTAAATTATTTATTTAGATTACTGAATTAAATTAAATTGTTATATTATTAATATCTCAATGAAAGGTCTAGACGTTACTTTACATGTTCTCACAATGCTATGTTTGACTATTATGTCATTGATGTTAATTTTATGGTTACTAATACTAATAATATAAATCTCATTATATCCTGCCAATTTTCTGTTAATCTTTTCATTCTCTATCGTTATATTGTTAATCAAAAAATTATAATAATATTGTCTATATCATTACTATTATCTAATATACTAATATACCTCTGTATCATTAATATATTATTTAATACATTATACATTCTACATTATATATTTAAATACATATATTCTTTTACTTCCAAAAAATTAAAAAGAATTAAATAATTGCATAAATAAATGAAATTTTTTAATAGCTAGCAACTCTTATTTTGCCAAGTCACAAAATCCAAAGTGTAAAATTTCTGAAATACTCGACTAAAATTATAAAATTTTGCATTTGTAAATGTATCTCACAGTGATCACAATAATTTTAAAATTAATATAATAATATATAACATTAATATAATAATATATGTTAATATTAATATTTATAATAATATAATAATATATGTTAATGTTAATATTTATACAATAATTAATAATTAGTATTTTGCATGGTATATCGCTATTGAAATGGAATTTTTCTTCTCGAGAACACTTTGGCAATAAAAAGGCAATAAAAATTGTAATGAATGTATTCTATCCTCTTTATATTTTTTTTTTTTTTTTGTCAATTCAATCTTCATTTTAAATATTCTTAATAAATATTTCCTAAACAGATATGCAGCCTAAAATTTTTGTACAATATTCTAAAAATACGAATGTTGGATTATTACATATTAATTTACGGACTAAAAAGATTTTTGGCGATTGGAAATAGATAATTACTTTTGAACTTAAGATAAGGATAAACTGATATAAATTGATCGATCCTGAAATCAACTGTGCGATAACTTCTATAAATATTTGAATACCAAATTTTCGAATGGGGAATAATTGCTGAAAAATTCATTTGAGCTCATTTCAAAGAACGATGCTTCTATTTTCACCATCCTGAACGCATTGTTCTCGAAAATGAGCTTCTCCATTGTATAGAAAATAAATCGAAGATTCTTTCTTCTCTTGAAAATGCAACAAATTCAATTATCTCTAGAAACATGGAAAAAATTTTTCACGACTGAAATTATTATAAATTGAAGATTGAAGCCCCTTCACAATAACGTTTCAAAGCTTGACATGCGATTTAAAAAATTTTAAATATCAGACTTGTCTATATACATCAAGCTTCAAGAGATTGTTGCAAAGGAAAAACTTCAATTGTCAAGATCGTAGTGTAAAAAGAAATTTTAAAAATTTATAGTGTAGTAAAGCAATGAATTGCGAATATATGTAAAGTAAATTTGTGGCGATGCTCTTTTCCGAGGAAAAAGAAATAATTCTAATTTTCCATTTGCTAGAAGACGATGAAAGAACATTTTTATTTTTCGAAAAAAAAAAAATGAATCTAGAATTGTGAAAACAGAGGCTTTTAAGATGAATTCAAGTAGATCTTTTTGCGACTTTCCTTCACGATGTTGTAGCAATTTTAGTATTAATAATTTACCAAAAATCGAAAATTTACGAGAGTAACAGTCAAAATTTATTTTCACTATTAACAAATGCTTATTGTCATTATTGTTACTATTCAAAATTACGTGGATTTTGTTCGACCAAGAAAGTAAGGATGATAAATTAAAATTTCATCTGAAACATGGACTTTTATAGTTGTACTTTGTTTAAATAAATATTTAAATAAAATAAATATGAAATATATATTTTATATTTATTAAAAAAAATATTATATATTATATATTAAATATAATATAATATAGTATAGTATAATATAATATAATATAATTATATATTATTTATTTTATTTATTTATTTATATATAATCCTTGCCTAGGCGGCTTAGGATAGTTCCCGGTTTACAATGGGTCTGCATTTTTCTTATTTTCTACTCTTATATATAATATTATATATTAAAATAAATATAATAAATATAAAATATATATATAAATATAATAAATATAAAAAATATATATAAATATAATAAATATAAAAAATATATATAAATATAACAAATATAAAATATATATATATAAATATAATAAATATAAAAAAAATATATAAATATAATAAATATAAAAAAAATATATAAATATAATAAATATAAAAAAAATATATAAATATAATAAATATAAAGAAAATATATAAATATAATAAATATAAAAAAAATATATAAATATAATAAACATAAAAATAAATATTTTAACATAGACAATTTTTCAATTACAGATCGAACGCGAAAAAGTACAAATGGAAGGAGTTGTATAAAATATTAGTCGTATAAAATATTAGTATTAATCGGACACGCGACCGAAAGAAAATGCTTACTTGTCTCTTTTTCCCCTTTTTCTTTTCCACGACAATTTTACGACGTATTGGTGCGCGAGAAATTTTCTTCCTTGGAGCGTAAGACGTACGGGAGGGGCTTGAAGATTTCTAACATGAATGAACGTTTCAGCGTTACTGGCTCGCCGGTTTCGTAATTCGCGTTTCACTTTGCACTCTTCCTTCACGTGCACGTTGGGAAAATGTTGCAAGCTTCTGTGTGAACGGGGGAGGTTCACGAGACAAGTTATTGGTCGTTGGAAAACCGACGAAATTATTTTTATTTGTTTCTTGCTTGTATCGATATCACTGCCATACACGAGGAAATGAAGAATGATAGTAATGATACATATTACTAAACACGATAGTATAATTATATTGAAGAAATCCAAGAATTCGAAATTAGCGAGTGCAGGAAACAGAAACTTGCAAATGAATTTGTGGCAAAATAAGGAGAACAACAAGAGGAAAATTATTGTAAAAAAGTATCAAAGATCGTGAGAAATAATATAATTAACTATATATAATAATATAATTAATTAATAATATAGTTAACTATAATAATAACTAACTTAATACTACTTAATAATAGTTATAATTTACTATATATATATAATAAATAATAGTTATAATTAATTATATATATATATATATAATAAATAATAGTTATAATTAATTATATATATATATAATAAATAATAGTTATAATTAACTATATATATAATTAATGTATATAATAAATAATAGTTATAATTAACTATATATAAAAATAATACTACTTAATAATAGTTATAATTTACTATATATATATAATAAATAATAGTTATAATTAACTATATATATATATAATAAATAATAGTTATAATTAACTATATATATATAATAAATAATAGTTATAATTAACTATATATATAATTAATATATATATAATAAATAATAGTTATAATTAACTATATATATAATTAATATATATAATAAATAATAGTTATAATTAACTATATATAAAGATAACACTACCTAATAATAGTTATAATCAACTATATATAAAAATAATACTGCTTAATAATAGTTATAATTAACTATATATAATAATATAATTAATCAGTAAAATATAAATTAACAATAAAGAAAGATTGACGATTTACTTTGAAAATTTATATCCTCTTGCGTATAGGTAACTTGGAATAAATTGTGACAATGGAGATTTGACTCGAGGACAGAAACTAAATTTACAAAATCTTTCCTTTGGATAAATTTAGTCGAATCTCGAAATTCATGCAAAAATCGCTAACGCAGTAAAGTATGATCTAATTACTGTATTGCATTTCATCATTCGAATCTAATCAATTGGAGTTATCTAGACGAGGAATTTATTTGATGGATTTTCCAACATCTTTGGAAATGTGTCTAAGGAAATCCCTGCCTACTGATTATTACAAATCGTTGCGATGGAAATTTCAAGTGTTCAATTATTATACCTAGGATATTTACATGCAAAATATTTGTCAAAAGTTTTAATGTGCAAAAATACACACAGTGTACATGACACGCTAAAATATATCAAATAACCGGAGCAGACTACATCTTTTAATCTGAAAACATAAA